AAGTTTTTTCTATTGGTCTTAGCTCAGGTTGTCTGCACAATCCTCAGATGAACTGGCAACAGTCTATTTATGTACGAAACAACACCAACCATCAAACTTGTCTCAGTGACTTCTACTTCACACACCAAGCTGACAACACACTCATCTGGAAACCTGACAATTGTGTTTCCATAGTGCAAGCTATAACTGAAATATACGTTACTACTGAAGAAACTGGTTTTGACAGAAAACAAAACATCTCAGTTATCACTTCTAACACAGTGTCAGCTGATGGTGACATCCGAGTGTGTGTTCACAAAATACAGTAAAACACCACTAGTATATTACACAAAAATGCAACGATATCACCTATATGCACTTACGCAACTCATCCTTCCTGTATATACTTTGGTCAATATTTTGATGGTTTTACTATAGAGCTACAGTTCAATTACACAGACTAGACTAGTGTATAGCTTCTGCAAAACACAGATATTTAAAATGCAGATGCTTGAGCTAAAATCTACTCTTACATCCTTACTAGAAGAACCAACGTATTTTCCGTTCACTGGAAGCGAGTACAAAGTCTGTTTTTACTGATCTGTTTACTGGTTTACATCGTGGTCAGTGACACACCACAATATCAAATAGCTCTCTCTAGTAGCTTCTGTACCAACAAAAACCCTAACTCGAGTACGTGTATTGTAACAGACACATACCAATCAATTCTTGGCCCAGACTAAACTATCATAGTTTTAAAAACAGACAGGCAACTGCTCTCTCCCAGATCATTGGTCAGATCCAACGTGGGTCTCGCTAATTTAAAGTAGAGAATATACAGACGGTATTTTCCCACTTGACTAGTTCTGAACACTTGATTGATTTGGCTGATATATTAGCACAGAAGAGGACCACCTATGGTGGCAGCCATCCATCCAAACTGTGTCAAGCCACTGTGCAATGTCTGTGTGTGTGTGTGGTAACTTCTGCCAAGGCTGTTTCCAACTGATGAAGAAACCACTGGGACGTTATGGGACTGGTGGAGCAACTGCTCTGCTAATTTAATTAAGGTTGTCCCACATACCTTTTCATTACCATTAGTTGCACGTGGCCACACTGTCATTGTCCCCGTTATATCTCCCTCATAGATGGCCCTATTTTCTACTAGATCATTGCATCAATGCAGCTCAGTTCATACTTGCATGTGGCCACACTCTCATTGTCCCCATGATATCTACCTCATAGATGGCCCTATTTTCTACCAGATCATTGCATCAATGCAGCTCAGTTCATACTTGCATGTGGCCACACTCTCATTGTCCCCATGATATCTACCTCATAGATGGCCCTATTTTCTACCAGACCATAGCATCAATGCAGCTCAGTTCATACTTGCATGTGGCCACACTCTCATTGTCCCCATGATATCTACCTCATAGATGGCCCTATTTTCTACCAGACCATAGCATCAATGCAACTCTACTTCACTGGCTTAACAAGTACAGAGTTGATCAGAATCCAGGTGTCAAGTGCCAGGACACCCAAACTATGCAGTGGATGATGTGTTACTTGTTTATATGTCCAATAATTCTAAATGGTAACCTAGAAAAACATTTGCAGTTTTAGCATTTTTTGTAAGTTTTTTTTATAAGAAACTCGTGAATTTTTTTAACCTCACTTTTTTATGCTCGTTGTAGTGAGTATAACCTTCTATTTGTCATCTACATCTGTTAATAACAACACCTTTCTTACTGGCCAAGAACACCACATTCCACCAAACGACGTATTATACTTGCTTAAGTGATGTGTTGTTATGGTAGTGGGTACATCCAAAGTGACATCATTATACGAACAAACTTCAAAGTGCTCTCTATTAACACGGATAAATAAATCACATACCGCCTGTAAGAATGCTTAGAGTGACAACTACTTCGTTGATGATCGTCAACAGTGGGTCAGAAAGCAGGCTGATGAACGTTTTTACCATGGTTAAGTTGTGTCAGTTATAAAAGACTGTGATAAGATTATTATGCTGTGAGCTGTGTTAATGGACATGAGGCGTAGATGCGATAACTTTACACAAGTAAGTGCCATTAGGAACAAAGTATCTTTAATGTAACATGTTTATGATGTCCTTGAGGTGTTTTTTGGTCAATAAGCCAGTGTTTCCTAAGCATCTTAATGTTTATAGTTCCTGTACTGTTGCTGCAAAATCTGGCTTCAAAATTTAGAACTTTGGGTAGGTTATAAAAGTGAAGGTTAAATTTCAAGTAGCACAAGTGTTGGCGGTGGGTGCTATCGACTAGTTGCCTTCCCTCTAGTTTATCAATTCAAAATTAGGGCGGCTAACGTAAATAGCCCTTGTTTAACTTTGTGTGTATTATCCGAAACAAATAAACGAACTTTTCAACTATAAATTATAACATGTTTAACTGAGAGATCCATTGGTATCTCCAAAAACTAGGCGTGGTTAATCAATAAAAAAATTAGTGTTTAGTACCACAGCAACCAATGCTAAAATACCTTATTTAGTACCTCTGTAGCCAATAGTAAAATACGTTATTTAGTACCACCACAACGATTTTCTTGATGCTATTTCCATATTTTTAAAAAGTTGGGTCAAAAGAATGACTTACTGAAAGCAAAAACTTGCATGCTTATTCTAGCCTCTGGTGGTAAATTCTGTTTCTTAATCATTATTTTTTCAAAGACGGACGAAAAACTTAAACATTTTTTCTTATTTCTTTTCTTTACCAAACGTAAATTTCACGGGAGGGGAGAATAAGTAGAAGTGTAATTTATTCTTTGATTCGCTACTTGCGTTGAAACAGGTTAGTTCTACCGAATTCACAGCTCATCAGGACTGCTTGGAAGAGCGAAGCAAGTAAATATCACATAGTGGTGGTATTTAAGCAGTTTGCTTGGTTAATATGAATATTCATTTACTCACCACTAATAAACTAAAATACCTTAGATCAAGGATTCTCCAACTTTTTTTCTCTTGGGCCCCCATTAAGAAACACTGCTTTAGCCGGTTGTGTAACGTGTGAAATACCATTACATTAAATATCCTATATTATTCAGCGGACTAAATTATTATTTATTCATTTGTTAATTTATTTCCTTCACCAAAACACGAATTTCAATGAAGTCATTAAAGGACTGCACATCTAAACCAAACAAACTACGTACATTCCACCATTCTATGAGACCTACTTTATTCACGTAGGTTCAAGAAGCCTTGATAGAAGTGAATAAAAACCCTATAAACCAGAGCGTTTTCGAAAGGTGGACCTTCCTTATTCCACCTTTCGAAAGCACTCGGGTTATAGGGTTTTTATTCATCTCTATTGAGACCTACTTTATTCACGTAGGTTCAAGAAGCCTTGATAGAAATGAATAAATACCTACCTTATTTATTTACTTCCTTTTTCAAGCAGCACTGACGAGTCGTGAATTCGACGAAACTAGTCTGTTACAGAAGGAGTAGCGAATCAAAGAATAGGTTAGACCTCTACTTTATCTTTTCCTCACTGAAATTAATGTTTTGATGAATGAAAGAAGTTAACAGTTAAATAAATAACTATTTTGAATAATCAATAAAGGATAATTAACTGTGACGGTATGTTACATGTTATACACCTAAAGTATTTTAGGTTATTAGTAGAGAGTTATAAACGATTTTGAAGGTAACAAATATATAAAAAGACTAAATGACGTACCCTCTGTGCTATTCCTGGTGGGCATTAAGGGTACATACCAGGTTTAGTGGCAATTGGTCCAATGATTCGTCAGTTAAAAGCGCGGACACACAGACATTTGTCAAATAATGGTCTAGTCCAGTGCTTCTCAACCATTTCCAATATCATTCACCCCTATAAGTTTTCACAATAGCTCACTCACCCCAGTTCGAAAAAAAAAGACAAAATGGTTCTAAATTAAAATGTAAAATTCTTAACTATACATAAAACTACAACTAGAATGAATAAAACGTAAAATAAACAAAAAATAAATGTATTTATCAAACTACAACTAGAATAAATAATAATAACTAATGACTTTTTTGCTCTTGAATTTGTTCTATAATTGATAACACTCATTCACCCTGATTCTGATCTCATTCACCCAGTTGAGAAGCACTGGTTTAGACAACACGGTGACAGAGGTTTGGATTATTTTGAATTTCGCGGAAATCTACATGAGGGCTATCTACGCTAGCCGTCCCTAATTTTGGACTGATAGACTAGAAGCAAGTCAATAGCATCCATATCCAACTCTTATGTGTTATAAAGTTAGATGTAAGCTAACATCGGTTGAAGTTGAAAAAAGGTAAAAAACTGTCGGAATTAGGGAATTACATTAGAAAATGATTGGAGTGTACGGATTGGAGCAGCCATCCTTGTTCAGCCTGTGTGGAGAATACAAGATCACTTCTGGTTATTAAAAGTTATAATCCGATATACGAGAAACAAGTGCAAGATTAGAACGAAAGGGACCGGTTTGGCGTGCGTTTGAGAAAGGAATATAAAAAACAGGAATTCAAGAACAAACAAGGATATGAGAGGGAACGAATAAACTGAAAGAAGCAAAGGAAAAGAGTAGTACTCTGACATTAAGAAACAAAACATATTTCTAAATTATGTGTTATTGATTACCAGTAGTAAACGGCAATTTCTTGTGTTTACATTAGTATCAGTCAATTTCTAATAGGAATAAGCCCAACCTAAATAAAGTTGATGGGTATAAGAAGAGAAAACGAAATGCGACTATATATCATCGTAACATTGTGTTACTGTAATCGCGAAGTGGGATTTGACCGCCACTCTTATAACGCACCCACGGCCCATGAATGTTGAAAGCCATGGATCCTCGAATTTCACAGCCCGGCACGTTAACAATTAAGCCACGCCTGACTCTTAGTTGATCAGGTCATTACACTTGAAACTTGACAATGAGATTCCTCACCAGGTATAAACTAGTCCCAAGTTTAATACATTTATTTCTACACTCTTATTTTTTACCTTTCCCATAAAACCTGTTGCTCCCGTTATCAGGACAGCACGATCCTGATAAAACTCGGCAACAGGAGACGTGCCTTCTTCCATCATCTTGAGAAGCGGAGATCAACTCGCTTTTAGTCGTTAACTTCAAGAACCACAAAGGCGTTTACAGTCAGGTAAGTCTTAACGTTCTGTCACCAAGTAAAACCTGAAAGCACAAGTGACAATTACAAACAAGGAAGATAAAATATACAACATATGTCCAACAAACACTTGTATTTACACCAAGTCTGTAATATCTCTTAAGCTAAATAATTATTTTTGCAAAACGTGATTTAACGGTTCCCAGATTTGTACTGAATAGGCATTAAATTGCAAAATAACAATTGTTAGTTAGGTAATGCAGTATCATATGTTTTGGTTAAGTGTGTTTAGCTCTGTATGTCTTGGGTTAAGAATATCTAATACCATATTGTTTTCCGTAAGGGTATAAAATGACACATGATTTAATATGAAGATATATGTGTTGTCAAAAATTCAGATTACATGTGAGTGGTACCAAGCGTTTTTGTTAAAGGTATATAATACAAAATGTTTTTAAGGGAAAATATAGTATCAAATGTTTTTGTTAAATATATGTAGTGCGAGGTATTTTTGATCAAAGTGCCAAGTGCTTTTGGTTAAAAGTGGGAATGTCTAGTATTTTTTGATGGGAAATAAGTGGCACCAATTGTTTTTGATGAACACCAGGTGGTCCTAAATGTTTTCATGAAAAAATTTTGATTAAAGTAGGTAGTGCTAGAAATTTCTGATTAAAGTTTGGTAGTGACAAGTTTTTATTAAAGTAGGTAGTTCCAAGTGTTTTATTAAAGTAGGTTCTGCCAAGTGTTTTTATTAAAGTAGGTAGTTTCAAGTGTTTTATTAAAGTAGGTACTGCCAAGTGTTTTGTTAAAGTAGGTAGTTTCAAGTGTTTTTACTAAAGTAGCTAGTGCCAAGTGTTTTTATTAAAGTAGGTAGTGCCAACTGTTTTATTAAAATAGGTAGTGACAAGTAATATTATCAACGTAAGTAGTGACAAGTGTTTTTATTAATGTAGGAAGTGCCAAGTGTTTTTATTAATGTAGGTAGTGTCAAGTGTTTTTATTAAAGTAGGTAGTTTCAAGTGTTTTATTAAAGTAGGTACTGCCAAGTGTTTTTATTAATGTAGGTAGTGTCAAGTGTTTTTACTAATTTAGGTAGTGCCAAGTGTTTTTATTAAAGTAGGTAGTGCCAAGTGTTTTTATTAAAGTAGGTAATTTCAAGTGTTTTTATTAAAGTAGGTAGTGTTAACTGTTTTTATTAAAATAGGTAGTGACAAGCAATATTATCAAAGTAAGTAGTGACAAGTGTTTTTATTAATGTAGGCAGTGCCAAATGTTTTTATTAAACTAGGTAGTTTTAAGTGTTTTATTAAAGTAGGTAGTTTTAAGTGTTTTATTAAAGTAGGTACTGCCAAGTGTTTTTATTGATGTTGGTGGTGTCAAGTGTTTTATTATAGTAGGTAGTTCTAAGTGTTTTATCAAAGTAGGTAGTTTCAAGTGTTTTTATTAAAGTAGGTAGTGCTAAGTGTTTTTATTAAAGAAGGTACTGCCAAGTGTTTTTATTAACGTAGGTAGTTTGAAGTGTTTTTATTAATGTAGGTAGTTTCAAGTGTTTTTATTAAAGTAGGAAGTGACAAGCGTTTTTATTAAAGTAGGTAGTTCCAAGTGTTTTTATTAAAGTAGATAGTTTAAAGTGTTTTATTAAAGTAGATCGTGACAAGTGTTTTTATTAAAGTGGACAGTTCCAATTGTTTTATAAAAGTAGGTACTGCCAAGTGTTTTATTAAAGTAGATAGTGACAAGTATTTTTATTAAAGTAGGTAGTTCTAAGTGTTTTATAAAAGTAGGTAGTTCCAGGTGTTTTATAAAAGAAGGTACTGCCAAGTGTTTTTATTAAAGTAGATAGTGACAAGTGTTTTTATTAAAGTAGGTAGTCCAAGTGTCTTATGAAAGTAGGAAGTGGCAAGTGTTTTTATTAATGTAGGCAGTGACAAGTGTTCTATTAAAGTAGATACTGCCAAGTGTTTTATTAAAGTAGTTAGTTCCAAGTGTTTTTATTATAGTAGATAGTACCAAGTGTTTCTGGTTAAGGGTATGTAGTGTTGAATGTTTTTTTAAAGTGTATTACATCACAACTGTGGTTAATAATTTGCAATGACACTTATTTTTCGTTAAAGGTATGTAAAGCAAGATGTTTTTGCTGAAGAGTACGAAGTGTCACATATTTTTGGTTAAGAATAACTGGTTTTACATGTTTTTGATTACTATGTTTGGCGGAACGATCTGTCAACAAGTTAACTAAAGAATGAAGATATATTATCCAAATTCACCTCGCTTAGAAGATAACTTGTCTTCAAGACCACATAGAACTGATGACATTATGGGATCAAAAATCGTGGAAGCACAAGTTACCTTTAAAACTAGCATCATATAACACAATATAATCATCAGCTATTACACACGTACCAAGATACTTCTGATATCTACCGTTAAAACTAGCATCATTTAACACAATATAATCATCAGCTATTACACACGTACCAAGATACTTCTGATATCTACCGTTAAAA